AAGTAAATAAATCATACCACACGAAACTGGAAAGTCTGCACAGCGGAAGAAGCACTCGGCACAATGAAAAGGCAGTCCACACACTAGGAAAACTGTGTGCAAACCACACATCTGATCCGGGGTTAATACCCAAAACTTACACGGAAATCCTTGTAACTCAATCGCAGAAAAACAAATAACCTGACTAAGAAGTGGACACAGACTTTGAAGAGACTTCTCTAAAGAAGACATTTATCAACTAGAAGGTGTGTGAAAAAGAGCTCAGGATCGGACTCGTCAGGGAAACACAGGTGACAACCGCTGCATCAAGCGCCTCACATCATGGCTGTCACCAGAAAGACGGTGACAGCGTGGAGACAAGGGTGCCTCACACACGGCTGCCGGGCAGCAAACGGACGCACCACTTTGGGAAACAGTGTGGAGGTTCCTAAAGTGGAACTCCTGTGTGACCCAGCATGTGGGGCAGTGGCCAAAGGCAAGAGAGATTCCTACGCTCTCACAGCACTTTTTTGTAGGATTTATTTATTTATTTGAAAGGCAGAGGTACAGAGAGGCAGAGGCAGAGAAAGGGGAGAGAAAGGTCTTCCCTCCACTGTTTCACTCCGCAAATGGTCGCAATGGCCAGAGCTGAGCCGATCTGCAGCCAGGAGCCTCTTCTAGGTCTGCAACACCGGGTGCAGGGGCCCAAACACTTGGACTGTCTTCTGCTGCCTTCCTGGGCCACAGCAGGGAGCTGGATCAAAAGTAGAGCAGCCAGCACCCATATGGGAGACCCAGATGAAGCTCCTGGCTCCTGCCTGGCCCAGCCTTGGCTGTTGTGGCCATCTGGGGAGTGAATCAACAGATGGAAGATCTCTCTCTCACTTTCAAATAAATAAATAAGTCTTTTTTTAATGGAAAGCAGATGCTGTTATTTGCAACAGCATAGATGGACTTGGAGGCCACTCTATTGAGTGAAATAAGCCAGACATAAGGATAGTGCACGATCCTGCTTGGGTTCTGTCTTTTCTAAATCTCAACTATACAGAGAGAGAATGGAACAGTGGTTACCAGGGCGGAGAGTGGAGAGAATGGGGAGATGCAGGTCGAAGGATATAAAACAGCAGACAGGCAGGAGGAACCAGTGTAGAGAACCAATGTACAAACAAGGGCTAAAGTTAATCAAATGGGACTGTACCAGGGATTTCTGTTAAGTAGCAGATTTTAGTTCCTTTTGTCACAACAAAGGCAGTGACAAAGTTATCTTAATCGGCTTCGCTACAGAAGCCATTTCATTATCTGCATGCATCTGTAACATCATGTTGTAAGCCACAAAGACACGATAAAACTTGTTTTGAAAGACCCATTGTGCCAGGACAAGCAGTGTGGCGCAGCGGGTTAAGCCACGGCCTGCAACATGGTGTTCCATATTGGCGCACCGGTTGGAGTCCTGGTACTGCACCTCCAATGCAGCTCCCTGCTAACATTCCTGGTAAGGCAGCTGAAGGCCCAGTACTTAGGCCCCTGCCGCCCACGTGGGGGGCCAGGATGGAGTCCCGGACTCCTGGCTTCAGCCTGGTCCAGGCCCTGCCCTGGCTGCTGTAGCCATCTGGGACTGAACCAGCAGCTGGAAGATCAATCTCTCTTTCTCTCTCCTCTCTCTCTTTTTCCATCTCTCTCTCCTCTCTCTGTCACTCTAACTTTCACATAAATATTGTACATCTTTAAAAAAAAAGCCACATTGTATTAAGTCTGTCTTAATGGTCCCCAAAAGTGGCACAAATAACTTTTGTCTTTAACAAGGCTCAGAGCCAAGAAGTGCCCGAGGCAGAGTGGAGACAGCACTGTGTCCAGGCATGCAGAGGGCCCCAGGGCAGAGAGGAGGACAGCCTGGAGCCCAGTGGGGCCCAGGAGCCAGCTGCCCCCCACCCCGCCGTGGCAGACCCCTACAGTGCTCCCCACCAGCCTACCGCTGCTCTCTCTGGAACCTGTCCAGGTGCAGCTCTTGGGAGCGAAGGCCAGGCAAGCCTGGGTGAGGCTGGGTGAGTCCACGCCAGGGCTGGGGTCCCACCCTCTGTAGGAAGCTGGGAGACAGCACAGGCGCTGGATCGCAGAGACAGCGAGGGAGGTGGAAACTGAGGCCTCGTCCCCACCTGGCCAGCCACTGGTCGGCACACTCTTGCACCATGCGCCTCTTGCGTCACTCCAGGATGCCTTCCTGGTTGTCAGGCAGAGTCATGAGCCCCAGCTGGCATTGACAGACACCTGAAAATCCCACCCTCTTCCCTTCTCCTCCCCAAGCTCCCCGGCAGGGCCCGTATATAAGGGGACAGAGAGGCTGGGAAGCCCAGCTGCAGGGAGGCCAAAGCCACGGGCTCGTGAGAGAAGAAGGTGACACACACATCCTTGCAGGGGTCTCTGACCTCCACCCACACTCCCAGAGGCTGACGACTGGCTGCAGCCCTGGCCTTGTGGGCACGGGTGCTGCGGGTCCTGGGCAGGCTCCCAGTTATGTGGCCCCTCACCTGCTGCCAAGGCGCGGCCCTGTGGGGTGGGCACAGCAGAACTGGCAAGGCCCTCTCACAGGCTGGCCACTCCAAAAGGAGGTACACTTGCCTCCCCGGGCCCCAGCGCAGGACGGGGACCCTCCCCTAACACAGCTTCCTGGGCTGCTGGTTTCAGTGAGAGGCCACCGTCTGAGCCCCTCCCTGTCCCCGCCTCTGCCTCCTGTGCCTTCTCCTTCTCACAGGGTGGGATGTTCTGGGATGTTTTGGAGGAGGGAGCCGAGTGTGTGTCTGGGGCAGGGGGCTGTGCTGTGTGCTCTGTGTTCTCCTGGGCCCCTGTTCTGTCTCCCTTCTCTTGCCCGATAGGCAACACCCCTCCACTGCTCCCTGGGGTTCTGTGCATGGTTACAGTGGAAGTGGGGTGCATGGCAGGGACAGAGGAGGTGCAGCCAGGGCTTCCGCCCTCATGCTGTCCCCCACGGCCTACACTGTCCCCACTGTGCCTTTGCCATGCACAGGTCAACAGAGTCGGCAGGTGGGGCGGGGGTATGGCTCAGGGACATGATCGAGAGCAGACTGGGCTCTAGGGTGACTCACGTACCCTAGGTCGGCTGACAAGAACAAAACAGAGCGGTGGCAAGGGCCTGGGGCAGGCACGGGCTCCAGAGTGCCATCAGGCAGGACACGGACTGGGCCTACCCCTGCCGGCCCAGCATTCTGCTCCTGCTAGCTCCTGGACTTGGCTGCCCTCCCGACCAGACCCCGTGCCTGGGCTGCCATGGGGTGCCCACCATGGGCCCAAACTTTGCCCCTCCCATCAGAGGGCTAGCAGAAGACTCTCCCAACCCAGGCCTCCCTTGGGGACCCCTCTCCTGGCTCTGGGTAGATGGAGGGACAGGAAGCTGTGCTGGCCAGGCCCCCAGCAGACCTCACCAGCCCCCGGGCACAAGCGGCTGGGAGAGTGGCCACCGGGCCCACAGGGGCAGCGCCCTGTGCTCAGGATGCACCTGGAGGCCATCCCCACCTTCTGAGGGGGTGCCCGCATCCCAGGCCTGGAGCTCCCTGGGCTCCTCTGGGCATCAGGTGCACACCTGTGAGCACACCTGTGCTGCTAATTCCACTCAGTGGCTGAGTCAGATGTCAGTTTTGTTTTCTCTTGTCCTGAGCGTTCTCCCAGAGGCCAGGTTTGGCGAGGTCTCAGGTCCGGCCCGCCCCTTCCACAGGAGTGGGGCTGTCAGCAGGTCCACGCTCCTGGCAGCCTTGGCTTCCTCACAAGCGGGAAAGAAGACCTGCCCCCAGGCTGCAGGTGAGGGTGAGCGCAGGATCCGAGCCGCCCACGTCCTGGGCCCTGGCAGCACCGAGGGGCCTCCTGGGAAGGGATAGGGATATTAAAAAAAAAAAAAAAGTCTTTGTTGGGCTTTTCTTCTGTTGGAATTTGCGGATGTTTTATCAGAACTGCACATTCCAGGCCAGGGCTCCCGGGATCCCGAGTAAGGCACAGGCAGAGCACGAGCAGGCCTCCCAGGTGTCCCCACCGCCCGCCCAGCCCATGCTGTGCCCAGTCCTGCGGCTTCCCCCAGGGGACAGCTCCTACAGTGATTTCGGCTCCTGCCTCTCCTCTGTTGTCCTCTTCCCACCCCATCCCCCACCTTTTTTAACCTGGAAAATGCAATGTTAGTGTTAGCGCATGGGCACGTATTTATGCTTTAGAGTCTGACCTGAGTTTTGAGAGGTGTGGGGTGTGTGCCGTGCAGTGTAGACACTTTAACCAATGACACACATGTGTGGTCAGTCCAGGGTGAAGACAGAGAACGTGCCCAGCATTGCCTGGCATCCTGGACAAGAACCACCACCCTGCGGTCACTTTCGCCCCCATAAGCAGAGCCGGTCCAGCAGGCACCATTTGGTTTCCCCTGCCCAACGTGGGGCCTGGGGATCTCGGGGGACAGGCCGGGCACTCAGAGATCGGGAGGTGCTGAGCAAGCCCCTGGGGGCACAGCCCTTGGGGGTCGATGCTCTGTGAGACTCCGACGGACGCACACACCAAGTCCCGGGTTCCCCCGTGCAGAGTGAGGGGCTTGGTGCCCGGGGCGGGAGCTCGCAGCATGGAGTTTCCCCCTTCACCCGCTGCGGTTTCCGGCCAGGCCGAGGGCCAGCCCTGCCCCACAGTTGGGCATCAGAGTCTCTGCTGCAGGAAAGACGTGTGAGCCCGGGGTACACAGGAGGCGCCGGGCTGAGCCCCTGAAGCAGATGTCTCGCCGAGGCCAAGCTCGGGGTCTTGGGCAGGAGCAGGGGCCTGGGTCGGGGGGCGGCTGGTGGTGACTCCCCAAGGGGCTCTCCTAGCACGGGGTGGAGAGAGACGGGGTCCTGTGAGGACAGTGCTGTGGCAGCACAGGCATGGACCTCTGGCACGGGTTTGAAGCAAGGAGTCTGGGCGTAGGAGACCAAGGGGACAGGCAGTGACCTTGCAGCTACAAAGCTGGTGGGAGGAAACCTCCACCAAGGAGGGGCTGGGAGCCCTCGCCCAGGAGGCTCAGATGGGCTTCAGGACTCCGGCCAAGGACACTGGCTGGGCCAAAGCCACCCAAGGCAGATGGGGCAGCCGTGGGCAGCAGGCAGTTGGAGAGCAGCACAGTGGAGCGTGGCTTCCCCAGGGCCCAGGCCTCCCTGCCCAGGGCTGCCTCGCGGCCCACCCCGTGTCAAGGGTAATTGAAGGGGTGGCAGCGGGGAAGTTTCCAGGTGGGAGGGTCAGAACTCCTCCCCTGACCCTGTCCATCTCTCAGGCAGACCACAGCACCCCAGCAAGACCTGCAACCCGCTGCCCCCCTGGGGCCTGAGAACCATGCTGACCTTCTGTGAGTATCCAGAGGGAACCCCAGCCCTGGCTCCATCTTCCTCTCTCACCCCCACTGCCCTGCCCCTGGTCTGGGGTGACCCTGCCTCCCAAAGCAGTAACAAACAGGTGCATTTGAGAAGGAGCAAGTTGAAGATGTACGATGGACACTTTCCAGATCCACTCCTCACTCAGTTATTCATCAACCAAACCTGACCCCAGGTGTCCACCAAGGAGCCTGGGGCTGGCCAGGGTGGTGGGCAGACTCACCCTGACCCCAGAGTCAGGGACTGGTGGTCGGTTAGCTGGGTAGGAAAGAGAATGAGGGCTATGGGTTTGGCGTTGACTTTGCTTGGCAAACAGCAAGTGCTGTGAGGCACTTGGGGCCAACGCATGCTTCCTGGGCCTGAGTTCTGTGGGAGTCAGGGGCTGCACTGGGGCTGGTCCGAGCTGTACACATGTCTCGGAGGCTGTGTGCCTTAGTGGACAGCGTCCCTCCACGCTGCCATGCTTTAGGGTCTTCTCAGTCCGACAGACATTCTGTCAGTGTGGCAAGCAGCCCCCCACCGGTCCTCCTGGGCTGAGGGCCTGGCCTCCAGGCTAGCTGTTGGCAGGTGTGCAGCAGGGGCGTTAGTCCCCGAGGGAGCATCACTGGCCAGCGGCAGTCTGTGGAAAGCCCCTTGATGGAGGCACCCTCTGGTAGGGCAGGAAAGAAATGGGAGAGCTGGGACCCCGCATCACAGGCCTGGTGACAAAGCCACTCCTCTGTGTGGGGTTGACTGCTGTCTGCACTGTCACCTACCCAGGCTGGCTGGTCCTTGCCCTCCTGTCCGTGCTGAGTTTGGCTACCCAGGACTTCAAGCTTGTCAAGTGCTTTGAGGACCCCCAGTATGAAGAACTGGTGCAGCTGGCCCGAGACGGGCTGGGGAAGATGGCTGAGAGGAAGAGGATTGTCGTGATTGGGGCTGGCATAGCCGGGCTCACCGTGGCCAAGACCCTGCAGGAAGCTGGCCACCAGGTGCACGGCCGGGCTCAGGATTGTCCCTCTGAGCAGAGGGTGGGGAACTCGGCAGAGGACAGAGCTGGAGAGCAGGGTACAGACCCAGGGGGAGGGCTGGGAGAGCAGGTGGTGGGACCCAGTAGTGGGGCAGACGTGGGAACTGGGGTGTGGGGTGTGGGGATGTGGCTGGCGTGGGCGGGGCCAGGACAGGGCTGGGGCCATCCCAGAGGGCGGAGTGGGCTCACAGGGTGCAGCCCAGGGACTCGGGAAGGATGGGGTGGCCTACAGAGGATGCACCCCGTGAGCCCCCATCATCTCTGGGGCTGGAATGGCTGCACCTGATGGCCTGGAGGTCACAGGTCCCAGCACAGTGAGACAGCGCTAGCCAGTGTGGGGGACCATCATGGCATGGTGACACCACAGCAAGGATGCCTGGCCCCCTGCTGGCTGTGCCGCCACTTGCCGGGGCCCCTGGGACTCTGTGCGTGGAGGCTGGGTGGCCGGGTGAGTCCGTGGAGGCAGGAGCAGTGCCCCGGGAGCAGGGCAGGTGGGCGACTCCTCTTCCCGCAGGCTGGCCCTCGGGCTCGTCCGGAAGCTAGGGCTGCCCCTCCAGGCAGCGCCTGGGGCACGTGCAGGCCGACCCCGGGCCGCTGGGCTACCCGGTCAGAGCAGAAAAGGGCAAGACGGCTGAGCAGCTCTTCCTGCAGTCTCTGTGGAAGGTGAGCCCACGAGGGCCGCTGCCGCCGTGGGGCCACCTCTGGTGAGCCTCCGCAAGCGTCTCTCCCACCCCCTCGGGAGGGGGAGGGGAAGGATGGTGGGCCCCAGCCGCAGCCCCCTGCTCAGGAGGCGCCATGCCCAGCAGTCGCCGTGAGCACCTGACCCCACGCTCGGCCAGAGGTGCAGAAGGCAGGCCCAGGCCGAAGCCGAGACTGGGTGTGAGTGTGTGACCGAGCCTGGGCACACGGGGAAACCCTGCCGGCCCAGCCTGAAAGGCCCACCCACCCTTGGCTGTCTGGGTGAGGGTCACCCAGCATGACCAGTGCCTTTGTCCTCCGTGGGACACGAGTTCTCAGGGGAGGCCCTGCCCTGGTGTCCTGCCAAGGAGGTCAGATCCTGTCCAGCCTCACTGAACAGCTCAGGGGGCCCAGGCCCACCCACTGTGGCAACGCGGGCTTCCACCTTTGGGAGCCCGCGGGCCAGTGAGCCTGGGGCCCTCCCTCCGCATACCCCACGACAGGTACAAGACCAGAGTGTCTGGACTCACCAGTCAGTTTCAGGACACAATCCTGGACCCCAGGGTCCACACGGAGCAAGCCCTGAACACACACACACACACACACACACACACAGCCAGGGACTGGGCGGGGGGGTGGGGTGGGCTGCAGCAGACTCTCCGGTGTGCGCAGGTGGCGGAGGAGCTGAAGACCAGCAGCTGTGAGCACATTCTGAGGAAGTCTGGCTCCTTCACCACCAAGGTCAGTCGTCAGCCCGCAGGCCGCTGCCCTCTCCCACGACCATTGTCCCAGTTCCACGTGCTTCTCCCCTGCTGGAAGGCAGGCTCTGTGAGGACAGGAGGGCTAGAGAGGAGGAGAGAGGGACCCAGGGAGAACAGCTCAGGGCTCCCGGCATCCGGGGAGAGCTCACGGCATCATGGGGGGCGACACCGGTGAAGGCCTGCAGAGGCCTGGGACAGCTTCAGCAGCAGAGCTTACCAGTGGGGATGCGGCCACCCGCTGTGTGGCTGGGGTGGGGTCCCACAGAGCAGGCTGTACTGACACAGACTCGGGCTACCCACCCTGACTCCGTTCCTCACTGGCCCTGGCTGGGAGGCCTCCCTGGCCTCTCCCTGCACCCGGCTGCAGGAGTTCCTGTGCACCGTGGGGACCTGAGCCTCGGCACCATGCAGATGATCGAGGACCTGCTGGAACCAGACTCTGGCTACACAAGGCCTTCATCGAAACCATGCAGGCTTCCATCTCCCTCCTCCAGGACCTCCGGTAGGGTGCACGGGCGTGGGGCGGCCAAGGACAGAGGTGGGGGCAGCCAGAGGGCCAGCCTCCGTGTCATTGGGGAGGTGGGGGGGTGCTGCTGGAACACAGGAGTCCATGGGTCTGGGCCAGGGCCTGCGCTGCTGCCTGCTGTCTAAACCCTGCTCTGAGGACCGTCCAGAGTCCAGGGAGGGTGGCCCCAGCTCCGATTTGGGGGCCCATGCTGGGGTGTGGCTGCTTTTCAGCCCAGGAGGATGGGTCAGGGGTGCTGAAACTCAGGCCCCAGCCACCAGACCCTTGCTTCCCAACCAAGCAAACTGAAGCCACAAAGACGCACTCACCACCCTGAGCTGGAGACCCAGGGCAGACACTGCCAAGAGCCCAAAGTTAGCCTCCCCTCCCGCCTGTGTCCAGGTATCGTGAGATCGCTGGGGGCTTCGACCAGCTGCCCCAGGCCTTGCAAGACACCCTCCTGCCCGGGACAGTGCGGCTGTGCTCGCCCGCGCATGAGGTGGACACGTTGGGGGGGCGAGTGCACGTCACTCTCGGGACACCGGACCCACTGCAGCCGGGGGAGCGCCTGGCGGCCGACTTCCTGGTAGTGGCCACCACGGCCAAGGCCGCGCGGCTGTTGTGTTTCCGGCCCCCACTGAGCCCGGCCAAGGAGCGCTCGCTGTGCCAGGCGCACTACAGCAGCGCCACCCAGCGCTTCTGGGAATGCATCACCAGCGGCATGTCCACCACCGACCGGCCCTCCCACTTCATCTACTGCCCCAGCCACGCCTTCTCACACACCTCAGACGTCCTGCTGGCCTCCTTCACCAGGGAGGAAGACTCAGCCTTCTTCACGGCCTTGGACAGCGAGCGCATCCTGGACGTGGTCTTGAACGACCTGGCCGCCGTCCACGCATGCCCTGAGAGGGAGCTGTGGGCCCTGTGCCCCTACGGCACAGTCAAGCGCTGGAGCCGGGACCCATACTCCATGGGCGGCATCACCCTCTTCACCCCTACCGGTACGTGGACTACAGCCAGGAACTCAGCCAAGCTGAAGGGCCCGTCTACTTCGCGGGTGAGCACACATCCCGAGTCTCCAGGAGTTGGCCCACCTGCCAGGGGTCCCAAATGCCGGCCCTAGGGGACTCAGACCCAGCCCTGACTCGGGCTGTGGCCCAGATGCTCGTGTGGGTGAGGCTGCTGCTCCGGTTCCTCAAACTGGTGATCATTCCTTTAGGGGACGTTCAGCAGTGAATTTGCTACGTGCTTGAGAGGAAACCAGTTCTCAGAATGCCCAGGGCCTCGGTCTGCCCCCACCTGTCCCCGACCCGCTCTGTCTTCTGGTCCTGGCTGCCCTGAGAGAGGAAGAGGCCGACAGGGGTGGCCCCTGATGATGGCTTTCAAGCAGACAGAGTGTGGCTGGTGCATCGATTAAAACACAGCGACACTTTGAGATCAAGTTAGGAGTCTAGGAGCCAGCTGGTGACTGCCTTTCCACAGAGCAAGCCTGGAGAAGGCAGCAGAGTTGCAGCAGTGTGCGGGCGGCGCGGGGTTCAAAGGCAAAACCACATTCTGTTAGTGGCAGTTATCGTGCGGGCATGGTGAGCAAGCTGGAAGCAGTAAGCCAATCAGCAGTCAACACCTATTCTCGCCTGACGTCGTGGCCGGTGCCAGGTGTCCGGCATCTGACGTCCTCCGGTACCAAAGGTTTCCTTAATGTTCAGTCGACACAGCCTACACAGCTTTGCTTTACTTTGGCTTGAGGTTTTAAATTTTTAGAAACCCCACCTTGTCACACAGATGAGGATGTGGTTAGGCGCTCAGGAGGAGGCTGTGACCTGGCCTGAATGTTGTCACGACTAACAGATGGTTGTCTTGTGTCCCCAAGTCCCCTGAGGCCGGGCTCAAGGTGGGCTCCGCATGCAGTGGGCTGCAGTGCCCTAGAGGACTCACGAGTATTGCAGCAGGCAGCAGGCAGACCCGCAGGGTGTGGGGGAGACGTCCCTGTGTCCCTCAGGCTTGCCTGCCACACACAGCCCTGAGAAGTGGCCCAGGGATGCAGCACACAGGACCTGCTCATAAGGAGTGCAAGGGGCTGACTCCCTCAGCCCCCGCCCCCCAACACCGTGGTCCTCTGTCTCCTTCCTTACCCACATCCCAGCCTCACAGCCCCTACCTGGTCGCACTGCACACAATGAGGTCACTGGATTAGAACTACTCAGGAGCAGCTCTGAAGCCTGGTGACGGAGACCCAGCCCTGCCCTGGTGAACATCCCCAAATGCCCCCAACTGCCAGGCCAGGGCCAACAAAGCCAGGAGCCAGGACTCCACCTGGATCTCCCACGCGGGTGGCGAGAATCCAAGTACTTGAGCCATCACTCATTGCCCTCCAGTCCCATTAGCAGGAATCTGAGTTGGAAGTGAAATAGCTGGGACTCAAACCCAGCCATTAAAAATATGGGATGTTGGCTTCCCAAGCGTTAGCTTAATCTGCTACACCACAAGGCCATCCCCTAGGCAGCAGATCATTTGGGGGAAAAAATATTATAATTATAGAATCACTGAAGGTTTCAAAGAGAGTACAGGGGGCCCACGCTGTAGTGCAGTAGGCTAATCCTCCGCCTGCGGTGCTGGCATCCCATATGGGCACCGGTTCTAGTCCCGGCTTCTCTTCCGATCCAGCTCTCTGCTATGGCCTGGGAAGGCAGTAGAAGATGGCCCAAGTCCTTGGGACCCTGCACCCACATGGGAGACCGGGAAGAAGCTCCTGGCTCCTGGCCCCTGGCTTCAAATCAGTGCAGCTCCGACTGTTGCAACCATTTAGGGAGTGAACCAGCAGATGGAAGACCTTTCTCTCTGTCTTTCCCTCTCACTGTCTGTAATTCTATCTCTCAAATAAATAAAATCCTTAAAAAAATAAGAAGAATACAGAAAGTTCCCAGTGTAGCCTTCACTTCCAATAATCACTATATATATATATATATATCCAATAATGACATTTTACGTAATTAATATGTAATAAAACCGGAGATATGACATTGGTGTGCTGTGTGTGTACAGCTCTGTCTCGTGTTGTCACATGTACCTTCTTGGAACCACCATCACAATCAGAACACAGAACTACCCCCTCCATTCACAGGCTGCCTTGGATCCCTAGCCCCACATTCCTAACCCCTCTGTCCCTGTAATGTCATCTCCAGGGGACGGGTGGGTCCTGCCATCTCTATCTTGGGAAACTAGCTTCCTCACACATTGAGTGCGTCCCAGGTCTACCCAAGTTGCACGCATCAGCAGTTGATTTGTTGTCTTTGCTAGGCAGTACTCTGTAGTGAGCCGAGTCTGTGTTTGTCCTTTCACCTGCTGAGGGACCTGGGATGCTTCCAGTCACCGTGCAATGAGCACTGAGGGACCTGGGATGCTTCCAGTCACCGTGCAATGAGCACTGAGGGACCTGGGATGCTTCCAGTCACCGTGCAATGAGCACTGAGGGACCTGGGATGCTTCCAGGTGTTCGCTTTGTCTCTGCCGAGTGTCAGCAGTTCTCTGTATACCTACGTGTGAGCCTGTGCCACAAATGAGGTTTGCAAGTTTCTTTTTCCTGTCTGGAGCTCGTCTGCTCCTCTTACCAAAGTTCCTTGGGGTGCCAGCGTTCACTGTGGCTGCCTTTCCTGTAGCGGGTTTCTTTCACGCACTTCGCTCTTGGTGTCCTGTGTGAGAACTCTTCTCTAAGCCGACTGCTCTGAAGATTTTCTGCTCTGTGTTTTTTTCGGAAAGTCTGGAAG